TTGGTGAAAACTCATTCAAACTGCAATCACACAAAACCAATCCATGATCCATTACCACACAACTCAAAAGCACTCGTAAGCAAGCAACTGCAAAAGGTAATTAAGATGGCTGTTCCTAAGCATGTACAAAAGAGTCTGCTTAAAGCTGTGGAGAAGATGAACCGGCCGCTCGATCGAGTGGAACTAAAGATGATTTGTGACAGGAACACAAGCCTGTATGGCATAAGCGGTTTGGAAGAACAAAGACAACTGCAGGTTTGGTTCGGCAATGTCAAGCGCCGACATGCAAGATGTTATCAACGCTTGCTTTTTGAGCACAAATTTCCACCAAGCGACGCCACCAAAGTTTGGATCGAAGCAGAAAGGCAGATTCCATCTCCAACCAATTCGCCCTCAAAACGTGCGCGATGTCAGGATTCGACGCAAGTGTGCCGGACGCAAGTCTGTCGGACAATCTGTATCCACACAAACAGGAAAAGATCCTGTACAAGTGGAATATTGATGTTGTGTACAATGCGGTAGGGAATAATGCAAGATGTCCCAAAGTACTGCATTCAACACAGAATTGTCGTAGAAGTCGAATCAAGTTCTGTAAACAAGGGGTTTTCCAAGGGAAAATCGTTGAACTCACTTTTGTGATTGAATCATCAATTCAAGCCAAACATTAATCAAATAGGAACAATTTCACTCAAAGTATACCAGACACAGGAGAACTATTGTCGTGAAAGTGTTGTACAATCGATTATGAATTTAGATTGCAGAGAGTTTGTTCTGAGCGCTAAACGCACTCACGATAGAGCACATTTTGCTTTATTCTAACATTCAATCACAAAAGGCAACGAAACAAATTTATGTTAAGAACAGCACTGCCTTATCTACAAAGGAGTGAGTGATTCGTTGACTATGGGACGTTCTTCTTCCGGTGGAGGAAAGGGACGTGTGACTCCTCAGAAAGTCAAGAGCAATTTGAGTTCTACAGTTGTGAAACATCTATTTTCAACAAAAGATGAAAACGATGAAAAGGCAAGATTGTCGTACGAAGATGCCAAAGAAAGAGTGATTGACTATATCCAAGCTTCTGGAATGAAATGTTCTGAATCAATGGTGAAATCAATTCGAGATGGAAAGTCAATCGACTTCAATGCGATTGCTCCAAGATTGAACGCTCCAACTCAAACTGAAGCTGTTGCAAGAGAAACAGAGATGACTCAAAACAAGATTCTCTATTCTGCAAAGCTCGACGAGAACATGCGAAGATCAGCCTACTTCGAAACAAACAAGCGAACTGTCAAATCAAACATCATGCTGAAGTTTGTGACGAAGGCGATGGATATCAAGCTTTGAGGTGAAGCCGATTTCATGACTACTCTTGAAGATCCAATCGAACTCTTGAAACGTATTGAACGATTCATGAAGAAGAGTGCTGATGCTGAGTATGACTTCTTGGATTTCTGGGAAGCAATCAAAAGTTCTTTGCTATGAAGCAAGGAACAACCGAAAACTTGATGCGAACAGTGGCGGAAGAATTAATGCAATTTCTGCTTGTTAAATACTCGACTGGTCACTTTTAATTTGCCCTAAGTCAATTTCATCATGAGAGACTAATGCAGAAAAGGGTGAAAATGACCACACGGACTAAAAAGAAATAATAGAAACCCGGATCTAGGACAAACTGCGGGGTATCCCTGGGGTGACGGTGAGTTTCTCGCGCCACCTCTTGCGGAGGGCGGGAAGCGCCACCAGCTCTTGGATGTAGTCTGGGTCCAATCGAGACTGCTTAACGCCTCCGATGTAGAGAGCGGCCAGCTCAGTAAAGAAGCGAGCATTGGGTGCAATCAGTTGGTTAGAAGCCTCCAACTGATGGCGGTATGCCACTGCCCAATTATCCACTTCAACATTCCTTTTGGACCACCAAGACAGGGACGAAAAGGGCGTAGCGTGGTCAAGGTGACCATACACATGACTAGGCTCCCACGATGCTTTGGAGCGCGCAAGGGCCTTGTGGAGGGAAGAGACCAGGTCAAACTGCGCCTGGTGGGGAGAGACTCGATTATCACTAAAGGTATTGAGAAGGGCGGAAAACCCATCACACGCTATCCTTACGCGGGGTTTAGAATGGAGCATAGGCGCCCACTGTTGGAGCAACCAGTCAACAACCATGATGCCTGCGAGCAAGCCGATCAGTTCACTCCGATAGACGCTTTGATCCTGGGGCAATCCGGGAGTCTGGCACCGAACAATGATGCGGTCCTTCTCCCCTTTTCGTGGGAGTAGTTGGACGGACGCCGTTCCCAGGGCTCGCTTGTATGATCCGTCGCTTATCACGCAAAGATGACCAGAGAGTAAGGCCTCCACCAGCCGTCCTTCATCACCGACAATCTCAAGTTCGTTGGGGGTCCATCCAAAGTACTCGTCAACTTCTGCCGAAGCTGCTTCCCAAGCAGTGAATAATGACGGGTGGAGGACAGGTCGCGGAGACTGATGCTCCAGGCCCACCCCCGAAATCACAAACTCCTCTACCCCATGCAGTGGCTGGGTTGTCACTCGGCATACATCATCTGGGAGTGGCTTGGTCCAAAAGGGAACCGACGGCGAGGGGGCTTCGGCGACGTCAAGGGCTGCTATCGGTCGTTTAATCCCAGCCGTCCTGTGAGATGCAGGCCGCATGTGGAACCTCCAGCTAGAGGAGTAGGAACCTGATCGGTGACCGTAGTGTCTCCAAGCGTGTCCATGACGATGAAAGACGCCATGCGTTGGGGAGACCAGCCAGTTCCAGTCGTCGATAGGGTCAAACCAAGGGCCCAACGGTTGGCGGAGCTGATGAGAGGGGTCATCCGACTGCAGAAGTGCCCGGGTCAAGGTGTCCTGCCATAGACGCCAGTGATTCCGGTTTGGTCGAACTGTCCGCGGCCCTGGGGTGACCGTGAGTTTCTCGCGCCACCTCTTGCGGAGGGCGGGAAGCGCAAACAGCTCTTGGATGTAGTCTGGATCCAATCGAGACTGCTTAACGCCTCCGATGTAGAGAGCGGCCAACTCAGTAAAGAAGCGAGCATTGGGTGCAATCAGTTGGTTAGAAGCCTCCAACTGATGGCGGTATGCCACTGCCCAATTATCCACTTCAACATTCCTTTTGGACCACCAAGACAGGGACGAAAAGGGCGTAGCGTGGTCAAGGTGACCATACACATGACTAGGCTCCCACGATGCTTTGGAGCGCGCAAGGGCCTTGTGGAGGGAAGAGACCAGGTCAAACTGCGCCTGGTGGGGAGAGACTCGATTATCACTAAAGGTATTGAGAAGGGCGGAAAACCCATCACACGCTATCCTTACGCGGGGTTTAGAATGGAGCATAGGCGCCCACTGTTGGAGCAACCAGTCAACAACCATGATGCCTGCGAGCAAGCCGATCAGTTCACTCCGATAGACGCTTTGATCCTGGGGCAATCCGGGAGTCTGGCACCGAACAATGATGCGGTCCTTCTCCCCTTTTCGTGGGAGTAGTTGGACGGACGCCGTTCCCAGGGCTCGCTTGTATGATCCGTCGCTTATCACGCAAAGATGACCAGAGAGTAAGGCCTCCACCAGCCGTCCTTCATCACCGACAATCTCAAGTTCGTTGGGGGTCCATCCAAAGTACTCGTCAACTTCTGCCGAAGCTGCTTCCCAAGCAGTGAATAATGACGGGTGGAGGACAGGTCGCGGAGACTGATGCTCCAGGCCCACCCCCGAAATCACAAACTCCTCTACCCCATGCAGTGGCTGGGTTGTCACTCGGCATACATCATCTGGGAGTGGCTTGGTCCAAAAGGGAACCGACGGCGAGGGGGCTTCGGCGACGTCAAGGGCTGCTATCGGTCGTTTAATCCCAGCCGTCCTGTGAGATGCAGGCCGCATGTGGAACCTCCAGCTAGAGGAGTAGGAACCTGATCGGTGACCGTAGTGTCTCCAAGCGTGTCCATGACGATGAAAGACGCCATGCGTTGGGGAGACCAGCCAGTTCCAGTCGTCGATAGGGTCAAACCAAGGGCCCAACGGTTGGCGGAGCTGATGAGAGGGGTCATCCGACTGCAGAAGTGCCCGGGTCAAGGTGTCCTGCCATAGACGCCAGTGATTCCGGTTTGGTCGAACTGTCCGCGGCCCTGGGGTGACCGTGAGTTTCTCGCGCCACCTCTTGCGGAGGGCGGGAAGCGCAAACAGCTCTTGGATGTAGTCTGGATCCAATCGAGACTGCTTAACGCCTCCGATGTAGAGAGCGGCCAACTCAGTAAAGAAGCGAGCATTGGGTGCAATCAGTTGGTTAGAAGCCTCCAACTGATGGCGGTATGCCACTGCCCAATTATCCACTTCAACATTCCTTTTGGACCACCAAGACAGGGACGAAAAGGGCGTAGCGTGGTCAAGGTGACCATACACATGACTAGGCTCCCACGATGCTTTGGAGCGCGCAAGGGCCTTGTGGAGGGAAGAGACCAGGTCAAACTGCGCCTGGTGGGGAGAGACTCGATTATCACTAAAGGTATTGAGAAGGGCGGAAAACCCATCACACGCTATCCTTACGCGGGGTTTAGAATGGAGCATAGGCGCCCACTGTTGGAGCAACCAGTCAACAACCATGATGCCTGCGAGCAAGCCGATCAGTTCACTCCGATAGACGCTTTGATCCTGGGGCAATCCGGGAGTCTGGCACCGAACAATGATGCGGTCCTTCTCCCCTTTTCGTGGGAGTAGTTGGACGGACGCCGTTCCCAGGGCTCGCTTGTATGATCCGTCGCTTATCACGCAAAGATGACCAGAGAGTAAGGCCTCCACCAGCCGTCCTTCATCACCGACAATCTCAAGTTCGTTGGGGGTCCATCCAAAGTACTCGTCAACTTCTGCCGAAGCTGCTTCCCAAGCAGTGAATAATGACGGGTGGAGGACAGGTCGCGGAGACTGATGCTCCAGGCCCACCCCCGAAATCACAAACTCCTCTACCCCATGCAGTGGCTGGGTTGTCACTCGGCATACATCATCTGGGAGTGGCTTGGTCCAAAAGGGAACCGACGGCGAGGGGGCTTCGGCGACGTCAAGGGCTGCTATCGGTCGTTTAATCCCAGCCGTCCTGTGAGATGCAGGCCGCATGTGGAACCTCCAGCTAGAGGAGTAGGAACCTGATCGGTGACCGTAGTGTCTCCAAGCGTGTCCATGACGATGAAAGACGCCATGCGTTGGGGAGACCAGCCAGTTCCAGTCGTCGATAGGGTCAAACCAAGGGCCCAACGGTTGGCGGAGCTGATGAGAGGGGTCATCCGACTGCAGAAGTGCCCGGGTCAAGGTGTCCTGCCATAGACGCCAGTGATTCCGGTTTGGTCGAACTGTCCGCGGCCCTGGGGTGACCGTGAGTTTCTCGCGCCACCTCTTGCGGAGGGCGGGAAGCGCAAACAGCTCTTGGATGTAGTCTGGATCCAATCGAGACTGCTTAACGCCTCCGATGTAGAGAGCGGCCAACTCAGTAAAGAAGCGAGCATTGGGTGCAATCAGTTGGTTAGAAGCCTCCAACTGATGGCGGTATGCCACTGCCCAATTATCCACTTCAACATTCCTTTTGGACCACCAAGACAGGGACGAAAAGGGCGTAGCGTGGTCAAGGTGACCATACACATGACTAGGCTCCCACGATGCTTTGGAGCGCGCAAGGGCCTCGCGGAGGGAAGAGACCAGGTCAAACTGCGCCTGTTGGGGAGTGACTCGATTATCACTAAAGGTATTGAGAAGGGTGGAAAACCCATCACACGCTATCCTTACGCGGGGTTTAGATTGGAGCGTCGGCGCCCACTGGTGGAGCAACCAGTCGATAACCATGATGCCTGCGAGCAAGCCGATCAGTTCACTCCGATAGGCGCTTTGATCCTGGGGCAATCCGGGAGTCTGGCACCGGACAATGATGCGGTCCTTCTCCCCTTTTCTTGGGAGTAGTTGGACAGCCGCCGTTCCCAGGTCTCGCTTGTATGATCCGTCGCTTATCACGCAGAGGTGACCAGACAGTAAGGCCTCCACCAGCCGTCCTTCATCACCGACAATCTCAAGTTCCTCGGGGGTCCATCCAAAGTACTCGTCAACTTCTGCTGATGCTGCTTCCCATGCAGTGAATAAGGACGGTTGGGGAACTGGTCGCGGAGACTGATGCTCCAGGCCCACCCCCAAGATCACAATCTCCTCTAACCCATGCAGTGGCTGAGCTGTCACTCGGCATACATCATCTGGGAGTGGCTTGGTCCAAAAAGGAACCGACGGCGAGAGGGCTTCGGCGACGTCAAGGGCTGCCATCGGTGTTTTAATCCCAGACGTCCTGTGAGATGCCGGCCTCATGTGGAACCGCCGGCTAGAGGAGTAGGAACCTAATCGGTGACCGTAGTGTCTCCAAGCATGTCCATGACGATGAAAGACGCCATGCGTTGGGGAAACCAGCCAGTTCCAGTCGTCAATAGAGTCAAACCAAGGGCCCAACGGTTGGCGGAGATGATGAGAGGGGTCATCCGACTGCAGAAGTGCCCGGGTCAAGGTGTCCTGCCATAGACGCCAGTGATTCCGGTTTGGTCGAACTGTCCGCGGCCATTGATATGGGGACCGGTGGATTTCATCACGCTCTCCGCACCAAGCCGACTGGCGGATGCATCGTCCATCAGCCGTGACAATGTCGGAAACGGTGCACGCTTGAAGGAACATACGACACCAATTGAGCCATTTCAGATCGTCTTGGTTCACCTCCAAATCCATAAACACTTCCACCAGCAGAGCATCACCGACGCATCGTAGTGGTAAGGCCGGAGAATCAAAGGCCACATAGATGTCCATGTTCTCCAATTCTTTCCAGACTCGCTTTATCCATGTATCGGAAGCCAAGACGGCAGTGTTGCAATAATCCTGCTGAAAGACACCGAACGAAGTGCCCGTTTCGAGCTGGTGTTCTTGCAAAGCGGCTTCCAGGTAGGCTCCGGTTTTTGTCTTGTTGGTCGAATGACGGAGGAGAGTCTCGATATGCTTGGAAACCTGTGAGCCGAACGGATGTGGGATGCCCAGGCCTTGGAACTTCAATGGAGCCAACACCATATCACACGGAAAACTTCTGCAGATACCGGCTTTCGGCAGGCAGACCTGTAGAACCGGGCTCATAATATCCACCCATGTTGCGGCCTCCAGTGTCAATAGCGGCATTGGATATTCTAGAAACTTCATAACAGTGGACTTGATCAAGGGGATCACATCGTATTTGTGAAGGTGACCAGACCAAACTTGTTCAGCCCACCTTTTGGCAATACCCTTCAGATGTGTAACATGGGCCTTCTGGTCCTCGAG